GCTTTCTAGACAGGAGGAAAAAACTCACCTTTTCTACAATAACAAGTGCAAGAAACCTCCATAAGGACCAGGAGTTCTTCAATCCCATTTTTTTCCTATAACTTGTGCTTCAAAGAGCTCTTGAAATTAGAAATCAATCTAAATACAATAAACTACAAGCTCTCTCATAAGGTGTCGATTGCATGTAATCGTTATAACCCTACACTTATTTTTTTGGTATAACAGATTGAACCTAGGCCTTAGGTTCGGCCTAATATAATTCAAGCTTGGATATAAATTTTTAGGTGTGAGTTCGGCTCAATCATAATATTTATATATAAATAAATAATATTTTTTATGTTTTAAATTGATGTTTACTTTTCAAATGACATAAAAGTTATGTGAATTGGATATTTTGTTCTTTACTTCACAACTATTACACTCAAAATATGTAAAAGCTGAGGGATTCACCTAAAGCCAAGATATGATTTTGTTTTTTCTTTTTTTAGGTTGGTACTCCATAATTCCATATAGAGCAAAACCTATCCTAGCTAAGGTGGTGCCATGGCTATTTCCACCGTGTAGAGTCCCCTCTACTAGTTAGGTTTGCAGTTTGCTTGATTGTTTTGTTTTCTGAAAACATTGTGCTGAAATTAATGAGTGATATACATACACATAGTTTAACTTTATGGATGAGATGAATGTGTGATACATTATGTTTTGACTTTTTTTTTTAAAACGATTTACTTAAATATATTTTATATTAAAAACCTAACTTGTGACCTGTGCTACATACAGATTAGTTTTATCTATTTAAATACATGTGTCTGCATACAAATTAACATTATTTCCATAATTATATCTATATCTTCAAAAAATTATAAATATACAATGTACATGAATACAATTGACATGTTATAAAAAAATTAAATCTTTTTGAAAAAAATTAAATCTTTTAGAAAAAAATTATATTTATGTAGGAGAGTATATGAATTGATATGTTTAAATGATTGCCAACTATTGGTGAAGAAAGAGATATGCAAACACTTTGCAAATTGTGAGCTTCGCTCCATGGTCATTGTTGACAAAAGTATGATGGAATTAGATCCCTCGACAACCAATTATCCAGGAAAGATTCCATCAGGAATCGATCTCCTCAGTGATGTTGTGGATGAGACTGCTGAGAGAAAGAGGACTTGATACAAATTCCTTTGTCTGAACATTATGTTTAATGCATGTGATTTAGTAATAACATTGTTGGAAACTCCATAACCAGATATAGTTTATGTTATTATAGTTTAAAGATTTTCTTCTGAAAAAAAAAACTTACATTAATTAGGTGGTAATCCTGTGATACCCAACATCCCACATCTGATGTGAATATGATTGTTAAGACCTATATAACAAACAAAATCTACTACTAGTAGTAACTTGAGCTTAAGTTTTTTAGAGCCACGTGGTTTAGGCCTAAAGAGTTGTTGGGCCAATGGTTAGACTTGGGTCGTTACAAATGATATCTGAGCCTGCACCAGTCCAATTTGAGCTTTCACATTGCTCTGGTGAGATCTTGGATCAGTGGATGTGATGTGTGGCCTTGATGAAAACATCAAGGATTTGAGTGGTTGGGATTGAGTTGGGATTGCGATACCCAACATCCCACATCTAATGTGAATGTGATTGTTAAGACATATATAAAAGTCTAACAACTTGAGGCCCCTTTTCTAGCAAAAATTAGAGTGTAATCCCATAACTTACATTAATTAGGTGGTAATCCCTTTTCTAGCAAAATTAGGTGATAATACCATAACTTACCTTAATTAGGTGGTAATTCCTTCTCTAGCAAAAATTAGGTGGTAATCCTATTACTTACATTAATTAGGTGGTAATCCCTAGTTATGAGGCTCAATTTCTTTCTAGTTTGTGCCATTTCCAACCAATTTTGAATAAGTGATAAGAGAAAAATCAAGTTTGAATTTAGAATATTTATTGAGACTAAGGCACTAAGCTAAGCCTAAGTAGCTTAACGACTAGGTCTTTAATTTTTTTTTAAATATTGGATATTTAAATTACATTGGATGCACCATTATATGTTTGGTAGAAAATGGGCATCTATTATGTTAGTTCTAAATTACTTCATCGGACAAGGTTAATATATAGAAACAAGATAAATAGAAGTTAATTTTACTGCTTATTAAATACCCTAAGGACACTTCTTAAGGTAAGCATGCATTTTAAGTAATATCTTCATCCGCGTTCATTCAATATCACCAATTAAAATAATTAAAAATAATACCATAAATACCACTTTACCCATTAGTAAAATCCTAAATTACAAAAATAATTTAATTTCATACCTCTTCAAGTCCTATATGATTAAATTAAAATTAGTGCTTGTGGAAAGAAAACCAAACTGGCCTTCTAATAGTCTCAGTTTGTCCAATTGTGAACCAGCGCAGCCAGGGGCGGATCAGAATTTGTGTTTAGTGGGGGGCAAGTTTTCACCAGTTGCATAAATCTTTGGTGTGTTCAATGGAAATTTTCTTATAGTTTTCATAGGAAAAATAGGAGTGAAAGCCTAAACTTTCATTAAAACGGTTATTATTAGTGTTCGGCCTCCTACGCCCTTAGCTAAATAATTTTACTTTGTAGATGGTTTAGTCTACAATGCCATTTATTAGTAATGGCAGCAAAAGGGAAAAAGAACAATCTTATTCGGAGAGAAGA